CTGCAAGTCATATGCTTCAGAAGTTTTCAAATCCATACCCTGTACAATTTGAACTTTGGCAAAACTCTTGGCTGCGAAGCATATGTCTGTGCAAAGATAAGCTGCTATTGAAAACTTACTAAAAGGGACGTGGTACCAAAAGGCACAAATAAATATTACAAAGTAAAAAAATATAAATGCGTAAATTGTTGGCAATGATTTTTTAACACAGACAGCTCTGAAATGCAAAGAATTAACTCAAAAAATAAATGCATACATTCACCAGTCATTAAACTAGCTTCACTCTTCACTCATCGACTTCTTTCTTTCATGTCCATCACGAGCGCCTTCTAAGAGAACTGTGGAAGAGTGGCCACTTCCAATTTGTAACCCACGTTTAGTCACCGACGATCTGATGCTGTCCAAAGATACCTCAACCTAAAAATCAACAATATGCTAGAAAACACAAGATGATAAATACAATGGTACACCTCGGTCTCCTCGGGAGTTACATATCTCTGTGGGCTGGTGCTTCGAGAGGAGTCATTCGATAGAACGGGTGTTTCCTCCTGAGGCATAATCTAGACAGATGGCACTCGCAAAAATTCAACTAAGGAAGCGTGATGAAATTCGAAAGCGATTGGGTTAAAGTTGTTAGAAACAGGGATTACAAAATTCGAAACAATGAGCCTAAGATACCACTTCTTCTCTAGAATAATTTAAAGTTACTCGTATGCGGTAATTTACATGCATCTAAATATGAATAAGTGATAGACTTGTTACTGAAAAAAAGTACTACTACTGAAACAAATTTGTAAGTTAGTAGAAATAAGGGGACAAGCCTTAATTTCGTCAGACTTTAATTAAAAGCATAACAGAAAGCAACATAGGTACACTAGAAGTTATTGTAAGCAGCAAGGAAGGCAAAGCAACAAAGATCTCCAATTCTTGTGGCTAAACATTGAGAAACCCAAAACTCACATCCTTAGGCAAGTATCTCTTCATCTCAATACCTTCACTGGTTTCCTCTAACTCCACATTATCTATTGAGACCATCTGAAATTGTTATACATCAGAGAAAGGTAACATAAGTACGCTAATCAAATCTA